CCCTAATCCACTCTGCTCTCTTCTTGTCTCTTAAGGTTACACTTACCATTTTTATTTCCATTGCTCGCTCATCATCATCATCAGAGAGCTAAACGTATAATGGCTATGCTATACGCGGCTTTTCCTGAGTTAAGCCAAGCGATGACAGCATACGACCGCTCTAGCTCTTTAAGTGATCCGCACTTAAATAACGAACATGAAAATGAATATAATTACACGTGTGCGCGCTCTTCCAAGACTTGTCAAGTTCCCACATATGGGTGAATGAAAGGAATACTCGGGGTCACCTCTTGCCCTGTCGATCAGTCTCAGCTGGTCGATAGGTCATTCATATTGAAGCAGTGTTGTACAGAACCGCCTAACCTCCCTGTCCTTCCTCATTTATTCCTCCTCCTTGTACAGAACGTCGTTCACTTATGCAACACCTGTTTGTATGACGTCCTGCTGTTGTGCGTAATACGTTCATGGCGTCAGCTCGGACAGATAGAAACATGGATCGTCACACAACGTCTTGTCTTTTCGTCCAGTCACAGGCCTTACAGCAACCTTACGCGATTGAGAGCGCTGCTCATAGTTGGTTTAGGCGTGGCGATCACAGAGGCGCGCAATCGTTTCATTGGCATAGGTCAGTAAAAGCAGTCATGAGTCAATCTATATCTATTATGTCTGATTATCAAGCAAGGCATATTATAGATAACTCGGAGCTCGTTTAGAAACTTATAAGCACATAATTACCGAGGTAGACACCGTGTGTTCTGGGAAGTTCTCATATCCCATTTAAATCCCGTTTGAACGCTGGTACGTGCTATTATTTGCCTATAGCTTGTCCAACCATTTTCACTTTATACACCTCAACCTATTTCTTGCGTTGCTAAACTTAGATTCGTGTTTGTAGAAGAAAGTTGATTTCACTCATTCTGTTGTGTTCTATTCGTTTCCTTTTTGACTAGCGGCGTATTGCTTTTATTCTGCTATGATAACGTGATCTATATATTTTTCTCATAAACTGGTTTTTATCACTTTTGCCCAGGTGCCAAGCAATACGTCGGACTGCGGGCTAGCGAAGCCATCTATTGGCAGCTTTTTTTTTTTTTTCAATTGATTTGTGGGGTTTAACATCCCAAAACCGCGATATGATTATGAGAGACGCCGTAGTGGAGGGCTCTGGAAATTTCGATCAAGCTGGGTTCTTTAACGTGCACCCAAATCTGAGCACACGGGCCTACAACATTTCCGCCTCCATCGAAAATGCAACCACCGCAGCCGGGATTCCATCCCGCGACCTGTTGGTCAGCAGCCGAGTACCTTAGCCACTAGACCACCGTAGCTGGGGCCGGCAGCTTTTTTTTCCTGGTTGTCCTTTATCGTTTTATGCATACTTGGCGGAAATTATTTTGGCGCCATAAAGATTTGATTTATTGGATGCAGGGACTGCCGCAGTGTGAGTACGACGGGTTGAGGAGGATTCTCTTGAGTCTGAGTCGAGTTTGGCTTTGCAGTGTGCTCGAATGAGCTCTGGTGAATATGAGCTTTCGTGATTCTTATTGACTCCGTGTAACACGAACTTTATTTTGAACGTGAGTGAGTACGGCTATCAAGGTTTTTTATTTGTCTCACTTGGAGTGAGACCATGGAAGAGCAGACTTTTCGTAAGCGCAAGTGCGGATTAGTAAATATTTAGAATGTTTGAATAAACTCGGCTGGAAAGAAGCTTGTCAAGCCTCAGTCCATTTTTTTTCAAGCTGAGGGCAAACATCGTGGCCTACCTCTGCTGAGTACAAATTTGATTAATCTGATCCTGGTTATGTATAACTTTGGTGAACTGGTGCAAAACTGTATGGATGAAATCTTCGTGAGCGTGGGGTTGAGTAATGACTAAAGTAACATCCCAAGTAAAGCGAAACGTCGTCAAAACTTGCCGACACGACTAGAAAGGTATGCGGACCGGCTAGTAACGTTGAACAAACGTTTTTCTGAGAAGTTTTGTAGAAGACGTTGGGAAAACGTTTTTTTACAAGAAGTCTTTTTCAAGAAGTTTACTGAACGTTATTTTCTAGAACTTTTGGTTGAATTCGTGAATGAATTCTCGATTGTCCATGCCATATATGCAGGGTGTTTTCCACGTTTTTTTTTCTTTTTTAAATCAAAATAACAATCGCTTTACATATTTATGCAGTATATACTTTTTTATATTTTACATAATTAAATGTAATAACTAAGCTCTCTAGTCAGCATTGAGAAATTGAGATGCGCTAATACGGTGTGCGCCTGCGTGGCTAGAACAATTTGAATTGTCTGGACGTGTCTACTCGCCGCTCAGTCGCCTCTCGAAGGAGCGGGTTTGAGTCGATTTCTCTCGTGTTCTAAGTGTGCTTGTGCTTTGTGTTCGTGTTTTTTGTTCTGCCAGTGCTGCTGATTACGAAGATGCGCTATACTCAAGCGAAGACGTGTCGCGTCGTATCGTGGAGCACTCGCCAGATATGTACCGCATTGGTGCTGTTGGTGCTTTGTTATCACTGCGTTTACCACCTTTTTCCTACCATGTGCACGATAAGTGAGCTTTTGTTTACGTAGGGACCCCATTTTTCTGTAGTATTTCAGCAGTGTAAAGGCAAATTTGTGCGAAGTTAAGCGCGAACAAGTTTTTTTGTGTGTGTGTGTGGGGGGGGGGGGGGGTGAAGCATGAACGCGCAGCGAGAATTCGGCAGCAGATTTGAGCAGAGTTGTGGCGGCGGCTGCCTCTCTCAGCAGTGGTATCGGAGGGGGGCCCTGCTCACGAGTGACCTGCACACGTCATAGTTACTACAAAGCGTGCAAGTTTTGGGACGAAGTGTGTAGTCATTGTTGTGCATAATAAAGGTTACAAGTGTGCAACGAGATTTGTTGAACTTTTGCATTTACTTTTGGATGGGCAGTATGATGTATTCCGGGCAACACCAGAAACAATAATGAGTTGACGTTTACGAGCTTGTCTTGTCCCCAAACAAAACAGATTATCGTAATGATAGATGGCAGTCACTAATTCATTTTTTTCAATAAATGTGGCACCGATTTTGCTTCTTAGATAAGGTGCCAGAAATCATTTGATGTCGAATTATGCTGCTATGCCTACTTGTCACTCTCAACAGTGAACAGCTAAATGCACCGATTTTAAAACACTGACATGATGCAACAAATTAACCACGGGTAACGCTCAACAAACTGGTTTACAACAAAAAGAAATGTTCCAGATGGGTGTTAAGAGATCTAGCCAAAAACTTTTTAGAATCCTAGCAAGCAGTTTACTAGGCTTATAATAATACAAGTATAGTAAACGTTTACAAAGGTTCTTTAAAAATCTAGAAAGACTTTTTTTACAATTCTTGCTAGAAGTTTTCTAGCCGTATAATAACACGGCGTTAGCACAGCTACAGGAGGTTTTCAAGCTTCTTAGGTTTAAATAACATATCATCAAGACTTCTTATACACTTTTGGGCTATCCATTTGAACATTTATTAGAAGCTTTTTAGTTTTTCTTGTGTTTCGTGGGATGTAGTTTGCAAGTGGTCGAGCCTCGCTAATTTTGCTGTCCTTGGTGTCTAACCACACTAAATTGCTGGCCCTCATAAGAAACAAGGAGACAACTGAAGGCGTTCCAGGATACCACAGTGAATAAAGGTTCGAACATGTAGAAAGAGGGAATGAAAGGCGAAGCTAGACTTTTCATCAATGACTATAATGAATGTAAAGGTATAGTAAAGCCTACTTGATGTCCAGAACGGCAAAATTTGACGCAAACTAAATGACACACTGTCACTAAACAAGTTTAGGTTCTCCGATGTCATACAGAAGAATTACTGTGCAGTTTAGACACAGAAATAAGTATTCACAAGGTCCGTGCAAGAAAAACTCAGTCTATCAGAAAGAACTGTGCGTGTAACTAAGAACATAATGACAGATGCATTCAAGAATTGTTCTGAAGCTTGCGTTACACTATTTGGTTACTTCCAGTTCATTGGCCTAAAACATGATACTGAAGGCAATCCAATCGAGTTGTATGCTAGGTACCGAAAGGAAGGCTTGCGTTTAGTAACGAAACAAGTGACAGATCGCTTGTTCAAATGGACGTTGTTGTGTGCCCTGTTGCTGTGTACATGATCCAGTTCAGGACTAACTCGTACGCTATGTAGCTCAGGTAATGTTAACGCAAATGTCAACAAAGAACAAATCAAATTCTTTAAATAAAGGAAACTATATCTGATATTGTGAGTTATTGAATGACGTCACTAAGAATTATTCAACTGATAGCGCAAAATATCTTCTATTTCCAGGCACCTTAAATGGGAGCCTCACTTGAAGAGTTAGAAACCTGACACAACAGACGAGAGGTTTAGGTGTTGCACTGATTATTTCGCCTATAAGCAAACTACTACAATCATAAACGCGAATGTGTTACGCACAACTTCCACTGAAATGGAATAAGGCAACTGTTAGCTCTACACATAGCGTTATCATAGTCACACCACTGCACGTGATACCTTGTGGCTATAAAGATGGTGGCTATACAACCCCCTATAAGCTTAACGAAGAATTTCGAATCAAGAACAGTGATACAGCACGTCTGAAAGACTCTCAAAATGCGACAGCCTGATCAAAGGAAGGCCAGTAAGTTCATTGCTACATCAACGTCCGCTAAGCGGAACAGTATAAGCTCTTTGATAACATGAGGCATCTTATCAATGCTCAGTCGAGTTGGACCTGACTGAAGCTTTGCTTGAAAACGTTTGACACACAGAAGTGTAACGACCCGACTCACATTATAAAGTGCGTTAATGCTTATGACGTAAACGAGGCAAGTATTCGTCACTAAAATAATGTATAAACTTTTCTTATAAGTCAGAAACTTCTTCTTCGAAATATTTGGAAATTATAAGCATTAAGAAGACATTGAGTGTTTTCCAGCTGTCCCAGTGTTTTCAACGCTGTGCGATGCATAAACACCGAATAAAAAGAATGAAGACTTTTAGTCGAGTAGTGAAAGAAGCATTTATTAAAGTGATGACGCTAATGCTTCCAATCTTCTAGACGCGTGCGACAAACACAATGGCTGGAGGCCCAGCTGCGAAGGAATGTCATAGAAACGCGTCTCAAAGCGGCTGGGATATGTCGACAGGTAATGAATATGTCGCTCGTTTCTTTTGAGCACATGTGCTCACTGGACAAAATTGCAACCAGTGCGTTGCACTTTGGACGGCGATGTGACATTTTTTTTACATATGTGAAGGGACCACGGAGACACATTATCTGCTTCAGAAGCTTCTGTAAAATGAAGCCGTCCGCTGAATTTTCCAGATGCTCTTTGCAAATACGTCGTAGCGGCGACTCCGGTACTTACTGGAATAAAACAAACATTTCGTTGAATGTGACACTTTACGTAGTGGCCAGAGCACATGGGTCACTCCGGAAACACCGCGTGTATAGAAAAGTCGCACATCGTGGTCTTATCACAAGAGATCAAGCGAAAAATAAAACACATCACTACTGGTAACAAGAGCTGTAGTTTGTTCATTTAGAAATGTTATTAGTCGATGTATTTTGTAATGCGTAAATGAACATGGGTCTGTAGAATAGCTGTATTGCTATCCTGATGTACACCCAAACTGATTGAACGCTTCCACACAAGTTCCGAAAAAGCGCATACAAAATATTGCCCCCCTTTAAACACAGGCGTCGCAGTTCACAATATCTGCGTGCGAATTCCAGCGAAAGTAGATTTTTATAGCAACTGTGAAACTAAGCCTCTGATTTGCTTGCAACGCACTCACACCGTGAACAATAACAAAATGGGATTCCCAATATCATGTGTAGCGCTGACTCCTACACACTCTATGCCGTTGTGTGTGCTGCAGTAGCTTGAACGAACGACAACAGTGGTTTAGCTTGCGATTCCGTAGCATCGAACAAATAGCAGAACTTACGGGCTTATTAGACGCAAACTTCACAAAGCCATCCCGGTCAGCTGAGAGCGCTAACTGCGCTCGCCTACCCTACGTGGCGCCGCAGGCGCCCGCTGAGCGGCAGCAGACGCCAGCCGGTTTTTCCACTCTAGGTCTGCCCACCCTGGTTGCCCGCTCGCCATGCCGCCATTTTCGTTCCACGCTCCCTCTCTTTCTCTCTGATTGGACAGAACCCGCTGCGTTCTCCTCTCCCGTCGCGACAGCGGGTGCTCTTGGCCTCCTGGAGCCAGAAATGCGAGCGACGCCGCGAATGTACGCGCGGAACGTTGCAAAGAACTACCGGCATCTGATGCCGTGACGTCAGCGGCGGAAGTGACGCGCTACGCCCCACCCATGCGCGTGCGCCGCTGCGCACTAGGGGCGCCCGCCGTCCGCGTTTTGGGGATTCTTTGTGCCATACTTCGCATTCCAAGCCTGCGGGAGCAGCTGCCGCCTGTGCCGGAGCGTGTGCGAGGAGCGCCGTGCCGTGCGCGCTTCGCTTGTGTGCGTGGAATTTTCTTGACGTCGCTAGCTGCCGCAGCCGCTCGCTCGGCTTTCCCTTGCCTGAACCGTCGACCGGCCGACCGCTCGTACGTCCCAGTTTTTCTCGTGGCCGTCGATTTCTTCTTCGACGGCTGTCGCAACTGAAAGAGAAGTTTGTGTGTTTGTGTGCGCGTCGGGGCACCGCTGACGAAAGGAAAAGCGGGAAACAGCGATAAAGAGAGAGAGCGAAAGAAACGTCTTGTGGTGTGTGTACGCGCGTTTTTCTCTGCCACTCGAAAAAGGAAGAGAGGAGATTATAGACAGACCGGCCAGTGGACTACGTGACCCAACGGCGACAATTCTCCCCATTTCTTTTTTAAATTGAGTGTTGACGCTACCGTTTCTTTTTTTTATCACCTTTCCCAAGTTCTGTTTCGCTCTGACCCTCCACTCTGTGGTTGATTGCTGTTCAGTGTTCACCCAGCTTTTTCCTTTCTTTTTTTGCCCCTGTGATCGTCGTTTCCCGAGTTTTTGTGTTCTACTGGATCTACCAAACCTCGACTGTTGTCATCACAGCCGCGTCATCGTCTCTGTTTGCCACTACTCTATTTCGCTGCCGTCTGGTACAGCGAAAGAGGACAGGACCTTCTCTGTTTACCGGAGTTTCCCGCCTACGCTGAGTGAGGTGAGTTCTACGACGCTTGCTTTATTCTCGAATCCCGCTTCCATGACACGAGAACATTCTCAGAGTCGCTGGTAACGGTTCAGTTTGAAGTACACTCAACGAGAGTGCATTCGTAAGACCGTTCCAGGTACTCGTACGATTCGACAGACATGGTGTATCTGTGATCAAAACCCCCTCCCGTTTGGTCGTCTGCTAAGAAAGCGCGGGCACTGCGGCGTCTGCTAGCGGCGCAAGCGGCATGGATAGGTTTCGCGCCCGAGTCTGCGCAGAGTGGAAGGCTTGCTCAGTTGGAGCGTGTTGCTGTCGTCGGCTGTTTATTTTTGTCACTGCCTCCCCACCCCCCGCACACCTCCTCTCTCTCTGTGCGATTGGTTGTCGCCCGTGCGGGCTTGCGGTTACAATGGTGCGATAACCACTCGGCGGCCGTGACATCACTCTCCCGTCGGTTGCCAGCAGTGGCAGGGCGTGCGGCACAGTGCGAAGAGTTCGCGTGATACGGGTAATCGGGAGAGAGCTCAAAAAAAGCGGCGAGTCGGCTGTGGAAAGAGACGGTAGACCTTGACTGGAGTTCCGGTTCCTCGTGTCTGCAGTCGCCCACCACCACCACAAATCTGGGGAAAGGGTGGTTTATATTTTGCGAAGACAGAATTGCTGGCGAAGCGGGTTCTGCTATCACTGGAATTATGCAGTGCTTCTTCTGTTCCGACTGCCTCACGTTTTTGAATGGCGCATCAACGGCGTGTGGTGTCTGCGCCTCGAACGGGACGTAGTCCAACGGTCCTTATCTCGTAACCCTGATCTGTGCGCTACGCTGTACTAAAGTGCATAAAATGGTGGTGTGGAGCGTTTTTGTTGTCGCAGAAGCTGCAGGATGTTTGTGGATACTTTTACCAGGTATTGATGACATTGGAGAAAGGGATCCATTTAAGTATTATATTCCATTGCTTCCAGGATGCATCACTGGGACATCAAGAGAATGTCACTAGGGCGCTTGCGTTATCACCTATATTGGTCGGTTGGTAAAGGAAGCTTCAAAAGGAATAGCTACAGATACCGCCACGTGTGAAATGCGTTGCGGGAGGAATGTTTTGCTTTTTGAAAGGGAGCTTGCGACAGACCCTTCTGACATATCCATTCAGCAGTTTTCTTTGTCGGTCGAAGTGGCCACCTTTGATCATTTATTCGCGACATTTGTCCTGGCCGTGGTATCTGCCCGGAAAATTCTTGTGATATTTCATTTCGCGCTGACCGTGGAACCTGTAGAACGTCGCGCCTGTTCCGAGCGTCACACGCAGGGACCGGACATGAAGCATTGTTGACATCTTTGTTTCTGAAACGATCGGTCACTAGTCTACGCACAAAAAAGCCACTGTAAGGTAATCTTGACCTACAGGACACCATGTGTGTGTGTCGCTGGCAGGCGACTGCCGACGCCTCTCGGTCGGGTTGTTTGTTGACCCGTTGCCTGGCAACCATGGGCGATGACTATCTGTGCCGCCCGCCCGACGTGCTGTCTTTATGGTTCGCCCACTCCACAACGTTCGTTGGCGACGGCTCCGCGTGTGAGGGTACCGACGGAGAGGAGGTTGTGGAAAGGGGAGGGACGAGTCTGCTGCCATCTGCACCCACGCAAGCCAACTGCCTCGGCAGCTGCGCTGGCGACGCTGTGGGAAAGCGCCTCTCTCGGGCGGCCGGCACTGCTCTGCGCGGGACACGCTCGCTTTAGCCACGCTTCATTTTTTCGTTCTTTTTGCATACGTTTAGCCTGCACTGTGCGCTCAGTTCTTTCTTTTGACCTCTGTTTGCTTTCCAGCTGGGTTGTCCCCCCCCCCCCCCCTTCTTTTATTCTGGCGGGTTTGTGTTCCCGGTTGCTTGAACCTTCACGGCGGCTGACCTGTGGAATATGCCAAGTAGGCTTTCGGGACTGTTACGTTGAGTTCAATTGAGGTCTTCAGAAGTGCGCATCGTAGTTTTCAGTGGCTCCACGGGCGTTTTATACCTTGTGGTGTTATCGGCCTTGAATGTCCCGTCAGGCTTGCACAGAGTCGTCGTTTGCGTTTCACTCATGGTCGGTTTACAAACCCTAATGATTGTCAGAGTGTTCTAGAAGACCTTAGCATCGGGCATGTTGATACACGATGACTACAAATCTTCAGGTAAAGCCATACATATATATAATGCCAAAAAATACGCTTAGTAATGGAAGTTGCAACGCGGTCTTATCGGTGAATTATGTGGAACATAAGGTCCAAATGATTCACTTCCTTATACAGTTAAGTAAAATTCTCTATAGAGTTTTATAAATTACCTCGAAGGAACTCTGGCGCTGCGATCGTTCAGTGACCACGGGAATTGTGGGTAACACACGGAGTTGACTGGTATTCGTTCTTAAGGACACCGGACGCACTTGTGACTTCGTTTATTGGTGTGCTTTCGTTTCATTTCGAACGAAAGGACAAACTGTTTCATACTTAGTGACCCAATTTGAAAGGGTGATCCTGAAAGTTGAAGATGGTAATACGCAACTGCTAAACGTTTGCCGAATGTTGTTTCGTTACGAAACAGCTTCAAGCCACGCGAACGTCAAGTACGAAGACTAGACAAATCCATGTACTGCCCACGATTGCCATGCTCGCTGAAGCGCCATGCGTTGCAGCTCCCACAGACACTAGCGCCAGAGTTCCCTCTAGTGTATATTTAGGAAACGCTATGATTTAGACAGCTTTGGGTGAAAAGATAACTTGCCGTGGGCAAGAAGCGAAGCTGCGACGCGTTATTTGAAGGTCGCAGGTTCGGTTCCTGCCCACGGCAAGTTATCTTTTCACCCAGTTTTCTTTCTTCACAGCGCTCGTGTTGTCCTCTTTGCCTTCCGTGCCTCGCCTTTCGCCTGTTTCTTCTAGCACCTTCGTGCTCGCGCTGCAGCCCTTATTACCATGAATTCAAACCAACTAGCCCAAATATCCATTCTTCTTCTTTCTTCACATTACACCAAAATTTGGTCTAATAATAACGTCCAACGTCCCCTATACTTTCCTTGGCATTATTGTATGTTAGATCTTACTAATATATATATATATATATATATATATATATATATATATATATATATTCTTACAAGAAAACGTATATTTACAGATATTTACAACGATTACACGCGATGACAATGCCTGGCGCACTGGCGGACTGGAACCAGTCTCTATCCACTTCGTAGTCTTTCCTTTTAGCCAGGGACCCTCTACCGCTTTATGCCCCAATCCCACTACTGCCTTGTGGCACTACCCCGCGGCGTTAAAGCGCCAACCCGGCGCTTGTCACGAAAGGGGAGTGTTGGGTGACACATAAGGCTTCAGTCTTACGACGTGCACAACAGTGGATGGTGGTGGCATTGAGTGCGCTTCGTCGACGACTCGCTGTATCTCGTAGGTGAGGTTGGTGATCTTGCGAAGGACTTTGTATGGTCCGTCATAGCGAAATAAAAGTTTTTCGGAGAGGCCGATGTGACGACAAGGGGTCCACAAGAGTACGAGAGAACCTGGTGCATACGAAACTTCACGGTGGTGACGATCGTATCGATCTTTCTGAGAGGCTTGAGAAAGCATGAGTCGTTCTCGGGCAATCTGTCGTGCTGCGTCGGCTCGCTCTATGGCATCGCGGACGTATGTGACAGGGGAGCTTGAACCAGCGGGAAGGAGTGTATCAAGAGGCAGAGAGGGTTCCCGTCCATAAAGAAGGTAGAACGGGGAATAGCCTGCGGTGTCATGTCTGGAGGAGTTGTAAGCGAAGGTGACGTAGGGTAACGTTGCGTCCCAGTCACGGTGGTCTGGAGAAACATACATTGACAACATGTCCGTGATAGTGCGATTCAGGCGCTCTGTAAGT